CATTACACATTAAATTTATTAGGATCACTACCTTAAAGAAGTGAGGGTTTACAGTATGTGCTTTTGAATGGTATAATCTTTAATAAAACAGCTATGCTAACCAGAATCAAAATAAGCTAGAAAGTAGGAGCTTTTTTTATTGTTCTAACATTTGCGACCCAGACATTTTTTTATTTTAAAAAAATAGGTTGAGACCGAAGTTTAGGATCTCACATGAGTATGATTGAGATGGTTTATTATATTTACTGTATAAATATATACAGTAGCTGAGACAAATTTTAAGTACTTGGGCATACCAGTAACACAAAATTTAATGCCTTAAATTAAAGGCTCCCCACCTAGAAAATTAAGGGCAAGCCCATTGTGAAACAAAAGTACTAACAACAGTACAGCATTTATGACATTTACTATTACAACAGGCCAATGTACTGTATAATAAAGCTTAAAAAAATCTATTGTTAAACTAAAAGGTCTTCTCAGTGCAGCTTCCTGAACCTTGAAAGATGCTACCTTCTCACACAAAAGGAAGAGCACTTCCAGGTTGTATGCCCATTACAGCGTTTGTGGAAACTGATATGATTGACAAAACTATCTCCCACCAAAGCTAGGGTGTAAACAGCATGGAGCATAATGATCCTTTGCGAGGTACTAAGTTTTTTTTTTTTTTACTCATAAATTGAATCTTGGGCCCTTTGTCCTTAAATGTCAAATACTGTATCACTACCATAAGCTGTGACCTTTGGCATGTGTACTGTAAGTCTCAATGGACAGTTAAGCACTGTAAACAAAGTCTTTGTTTCCTTTTAATTTCATTCATCGTGTGAATACTCCTCTGGTTTGATTTTATGCTGTACAGTTACAGTTTGTAATGAGAATTAACTCTCATTTCCCATTTTCCATGACTTGGGAAAAATCCTGTGCAACACGTTTTCTTTGTGACAAACCTCACCAGGTTTTCCTGAATTGTCTTTGGTTTGTTCAAGCACGTTTCTGGAATGGATTAAATACATTGTGATAATGCAAATCTATGTTAGGACTGCCCATTTCATGGATTTTTATCATTTGTTTTTATTCATAAAGTTTTCAAAACTGGCAAAAATGGCGGCACAGTTGTGCTGCATCAGTTCTTTGGTTCAATTGCTGGGATGCTATACGGCTTGAGTTTGTACAGTATGTTCTTTGAATGTTTGCACATTTCTTCTAACCAGTTTCAGTCCACAGTCCAAAGACGCGCTGGTAGGTTAATTGTGGTTCGTGGAAAATTGGCCTCATGTAAGTGCATGCCTGTCTATGTACAGTATGTGTGCCATGCGGTGGACTGGTGTCCCACTGCTTGCGGGGTTGGGCTCCATCTCCACTGCTACCCTGTGCTGGATAAAGTGCTTAGAAATTGGATGGATGGGTGGGTTTCAGTACAGACTATCCTACTTCATGCAAATGTTCTAAAGGTTTACAAGCCAGTATGTCAAAATTCATGTCTACCAATATTTAATAAATTCATATTTTAGTATATAACTGGGGGATTCACAACAGTATTTCTTTCTAAGTAAAAGAAAATGATTATTAACATGCAATATCATTGTTACAAAGGTTAGCAGATAGTTTGTATCTACAATGTACACTGGGGGGCTTGTACTTGGGTGCAAACATTTCTAGAGTATTACATTACCAAGGTACTGTACTGACTAACATTACTAGTATAAGAGTAAGCTGGGAACCATTACTGAGAAGAAGCAGTCCTAAAACAGGCACATCAGTGAGAGCCAGCAGTAATTTTATTCCTTTCTTTGCTTCTCTGCTTAAATTCCATTGTTCACCGTACTGCAGATATGGTATTACTAACATTCATGGTATTACTAGCTGAAGAACTAGGTTGTTAGAGCGAGGAAAAAGTACAGTTCCAGACTACATTACAATTGGTTCTACCATCCCAATTTACAGTTGTTCTATATCCCATATAGAGGAACTGAAGAAGAAGGGACTGTCTCATTGTACAACCCTTGAGCTGAAAATAAAGATTGCGCTGTCCAAATGACTTTATTAAATCTTCCTCAATGGGACACTCTGAAGCTGATGTTCTGAAATTGAGCCCTGTCCCTAAACACCCACAACTGAAAAGCCCATTAGTAAATTTAAAATTAAGTACAGCTGGCCAACTAAAAGCTTTGGAGCTTTATCAAACAGGTTTAAGGTGGAACTGAACTAGAAGTATCAGAGAGAACCAGGAGAATGCAATTGCATAGGGTAATATGATGCGTGGACCTCGGTATGTCAAAAAGAATACAGCATTCTAGAACACTTTTGATATAATTGTGGAATCAGTGCATATGCTTTGTGTGAAGTACACATGTATTGAATTGCTTCCATCTCTTTTTGTGTAAAGACACCAAAATTCCTTGTACAAGTAGTTGGCAAATAAAGTAATTCTGATTCTGAGCAGCCCCTTTACTGTAACGTTCTGTTCTAGGCAATCGCATACCTTCACTGTCCATAAAATACTATCTGCTGAGGTGCAATATCCAGAAAATGGAAAAGGTACCATCAGAACAAAAAACTGTCTGCATCTGCTTAGAATATCTGTCTGCTGTTGCAAATAGATTTTTTTTGTTTTGTTCGGAGGACATTCACACAAAGCTTATTTGAAACATTTTAATAAAGAATAATGCAGTTACAAGAACTTGGAATGAACTTGGGATGTAATGTCTGCACAATCTGCTCAATTTGAACTGTCATATTATTCATACAACAGTATGTACTGTACCTGGGTTCATGGCTGTCGGTAACTAAATTACTTTTTGAACAGAAGGCTCTAGCTAAATTGAAACATGTTGACAAGACCTGATGCCAAGGTGATTTTTCTTTTTAAAAAGGACACCACGCCGGAATGCAATTGCATATTACTTTGAGAGCTGTACAATTTGAAAATATGGTGACAATGGAGTATTATGAATAGAATGATGCTGGAGAATGAAGATCTTCAAAAATGTGGAAGAGAGAGTCTGATTTAGTTAATTCATTCCTTTGTGATGATGCTACAATATACTGTACATTAACATTTTCTGTTATAAAATTTTTTTGCAGCATTAGTAATTATGGGGAAATTAATGAACAAACTGAATTAACATATCATTCAGACAATCCTAACTTATAAAAAATCCCCAGATGTGCCCCTTTAACTACCTTAGCCTGTAATCCAAAGTTTTTATACTCCTTTCCATGAAGAAATTGTTTTTTCAAACAGTGAGTAAACAATGTTAACCTTTATTTAGCTTTCATGCATATGTTCAAAACTAATGGAATCTGACCTTAGCATGGACTAGTTAGACAAAAAAATATCTCCTGTAAGTGCTAAAGGAACACAAGGTCATGCAGCATCTGGGAGAATGATGTAATTGCTGTTTTATAAAAAAAAAAGGATCATTTTTGTTCTTTATCTCTGCAGTAATGCAGATGGAACATTTTGATCACAAAGCTCTATGTGCTTTGCTAGTAACTCTTAATCCTAGTAGTGGAAAATACAAGCCCATCTGGCCGAATGTGTTGTAGAAAAAGGGAAATCCTACATGAAGAGAGGGAATAAAGGGTGAAATGGGAGGAGACTTCTTATATCTCATGAAACCAAGTAATTTCTAACTATTCAGTGTCCTCTGGCTTTTTTTTTTCTGTGGTTGTACATTAGCTTAAATAGATTGTGTCTGTGATAAAGTATTTGAAATGTGCACCATGGTAGATGAGGAGAAGGCAAGGCTGACTGCTACTGTAAAACAAGAGCTGCGTTTGTTTATTTTACTAGATTGCCACTTTATAAAGAACTTCATTCACTTTCCTTTTCAGTTTCGGGTTAGCCAGAGCAGTAGGTGCAATAAGTGCTGTTTATTGAATGCTTGGTAGTGCTTGTGGTCAGATCCTTCATGGGGGATCTATTTGCTGCTGTGGAAGCTGACGAGAGACTTCTCTTAACAGGCTAATTATGTAGTAATGTAAATCCAGCTCGTAAACATTGCATGATAACGTATATAGTACTCTCGATGGAAGCTGCCAGGCGCAAGTAAGTAAATTGAATTGGTTGTTCTTAAATTAAAGCTATACTGCAAAGCAGAACCCACCCAAAATAATGACACTGGCCGTGCTTGAATTATCTAAATATATGCTACTATGGGCCAGCATAATATAGTAGTTCTTAACCAGGAATGTATTGTTCTTAACATTAACTAAATTACAGTAAGTGAAGGTTATTGCTGCACCTGGATGACTTGTTGGTATGGTGTCCCTGAATTGGATGAAGTTGTTAGAAAAGGGATGGATGAAAGTCTTCTTTCAGTATTTCCAAACTTAATGTTAATACTTAATGCTAGCTGCTATATCAACCTGTAACTCACAACTGGCAATGCATTGAAGCTCTGCAGGTCTGAGCCTGTTCAGTACCTGGATGGAAGACCTCTTGGGAAAGCTAAGGTTGCTGCTGGAAGAGGTGTCAGTGGGACCAGTAGGGGGTGCTCACCATGCATTCTGTGTGGATCCTAATTCCCCAGTATAGTAGTGGGAACACTACTCTGTAAAAAAGGCTCTGTCAATTGGATGGGACATAAAACTGAAGTTATTATTAATTTCCATGGTCATTAATAATCCTTGGGTGTTTCTCAAAATGTGTCCCCATGGCTTCATCCCTCTGTTCTCCTCCCCACTAATAGCTGGTGTATGGTGAGCATACTGGCGCACTTCGGCTGTCATCACATCATCCAGGTGGGGTAGCACATTGGTGGTGGTGGTGGAGGGGAGTCCCCATTATCTACAGTACATAAGTGCTTTAAGTGGAGTGTCCAAAGAACCGCTATACAAGTGTAAGCATTATTATTACTTTTGTTCTCGTTACCACATTTCAAAGAACTAACCCTGGTTGAGTTGCGCATTGGTGTTTTGTTCTGTAATTGCAACTGACGTGACTGATATTACTACTATTATGAAGCTTGTGTTTCAGATGCATATTTTTTTATTTTCAGGTTTTTAATGGTGCTAGTCTGTCTCATCTTCAGTGTCCTGTCAACGATAGAACAGTATGCTGAATTTGCCAGTGGCACACTCTTTTGGATGGTAAGAGCCTTTGTCGGGTAATGAAGGGCTTTTTTTACAGGGTTTAAAGGTTTTTTTACAGCATTGTCAAGGGTAAATCGAGCTATTTTTTGTCCATCTATTTCTGTTTAAATACTCTGTAGTACGTTAACGGAACTTGGGTTATGAATTTCGATAATTGCATCTTCAAGATTCGAATAAAAACAAGGCAATATTAATAAGACCTCTGCAGTTATAGATGCAGACTTGCAGTATCTTCTTATTCACTTATTCAAGTCAGTGTTTTGCAAGTCCTGGCCTTGAGGTACCACTGTCTCTTCAGTTATCATTCCAGATGAACTGAGAGTCATACTCAAACTGAACTCTTTGTACTTTTAAAACCATTTCTGTTCTAAAAAGGCTAGGAATTTGAGTAATACTTTTTCCTGGTACTCTTTCAGCTCAAATTTTTAGCTAATTTAACTAATATGGTACAAAAAATGTTGATTGAGACTCTCATTCTTGCCTGTCTGCAGCATTATTAATTGCTAAGTAGTATGAGTTATTTAGAAAGATATAGGAGAGCACTGTATCTGCTCAGTTTCTTGGAAATGAAGACTGTCCTAAGTATATACAGTACATTAATAGTTAAAAATCAATTGATTGGTTCAATTATTGATTTAATAAGCTTAATTGATCAAGACTTTGGAATGCAAAAAGTATTAGTGAAGTACTAAAAAAGGTACCAGGGGAACACTGCTTGAGACATTCCGCATAAAAATATCTTCTAGGTTTTATAATGAATCACATATTGATCTTAAGGGCAGGATATGGCTAACATTTCTGAACTATCTGTTCAGGCACTCGGAGTTTGGCTGAACTAGGTAATTTAAGATTTTGGAGAGCTTTTTGTAGAATTAATGAGATGAGAGTTGAGTTCTTGGATCCTTTTTTTTTAATGAATAAATTAAAATGTTGTAAGAAAATGAAATGCTATTGAAAACTTGAATTCTTGGAGTTGTATACTTTATGCATGTTGCTGTTCCCAAGGTTAATATAGACTTGAGATTGACAGCTTTTCTTGATTGGAATATTCATACTGGGCATGGCTTGCTTTTTCTGACTCTTGACACAATCCCATTCTTAATTGTTTTCTGCTTTAATTATACTTTAAATCCTCATTTCCTTTCAAAGCTAAATGACTTCGATTTTTAAACAACACCTGTCAGTTTCTGTGTAATGTATTTTGTATTAAAGTACTGTATGTTTTGAATTCGTTTTATAAGGAGATGTGCAAATGATTGTGTATTTGTATATGACAGCAGTGTTTTTTGAGAACTGATATGGAAGTCAGAGATGTCAGTAGAACTTTTTATATTACTGTTACATGTGAATTGTTTTAGAGTTCTCCAAAAGTGTGGCTAAATTAGCACAGCTACAAGAGTAGTTTTTTTTTCCTCAGGAGTAACACGTCTGGCTATAAATCTTGAGATTAAGGAATTCCTACTGTATGTAAAATACAGTACATATTTATTTTATTCTGTAATACAATGAGCCACCACATGAGGGTAGCATTTCATTGGGATATCGAAGACATCCTTGCTAAAGCCCAAGCTACTGTAATTCAGAAGGTGGAGGTCTTATACTGGTAGTGGCAATGACTGCATTTGTAATAATTATAGTAATCTCAGTACAATCAGTCTGACTTGTTGTTTTCATGGGAAACTAAGCCATGGGAAAAAGAGTTACCCAGAAAAGGACATGCTCACAAATGCAAAGGCATACAGTTTGAGAGAAGGTTATTAGCATAAAAGTCAAGCTTTCTGATTTAGTTTTAACTCAAATTGTAACTAAAATTGTGTGTATATCTATTAATAGGGAAAATAAGGCAAGGCTTTGCAGTATGTCCCATTTTGTTGAATTGCATATGATGAATACACTGAAACTTAATTTTATGAACACGAAAATGCTCATTTTCAACAAATATGGGCCAATTAAATGACATATTGCAAAGACAAATTCCACATGAAAATGTTTATTGCACAAGCATAACCGCATTTGGTATTGCAAACCTAAATTAGTGCAGGTGCACACATTTACTTTGACAGCTCATGCAATTTAGCTTGCAGGCCTCTCTCTTGCAATTATAGTTTATCACAGATTACAGTATAAATAAAAACACCTGTCTCTGCCAGGTTCCTCAGTCAAGTACTGAAGTTCAGGCAAATATTTAAGCATGCCATTTTCAAAATAATTTTCAAAACAAACAGAGGTGAAGCTGCAGAACTGCATAGATCAGGAGAATGGTATAAATGGTATATTCCTTTGAGTATTGTGAACTCAGTCATTAACAACTCAAGTATATCATACCGGCCAGTATCTTCAAACTGAGCAAATGGCAAAAATGGAACTGGTAAGGCCAATGACATCTTTGAAAGAGCTAGAGTTCAGTGGCTGAGATGAAAGAAAATGTCCATGAGTCAACAGGACTTAGGTCATCGCAGAGAGGCAAATCCATCTCAAATCCCACGTGGATGTCAGTGATACTGCAAACATTGGGGAAACAGGATTATAGTCACATGAAATGAATCTGAAAAATGTTGGGCTAAATGTAAGGTCTTACATCTGCTGCAAACCTCCTGCAGTACATTAGCCAGTCAGTACCTTCCCTACTATCATGCATGGTGATGGTAATGTACTGTAGTGTGGGGCTGCTTCTCATCAGAGACTGGGAAGCTTGTCAAGAGTGAGGATGGAGCAAAGTGCAGGAAAATCCTAGAGGAAACCCTGCTTCAGTCTGCTAAAAACCTGCAACTAGGATGAGATTTCACAGTAACCTGAGAAAAAAATAAATGTCTTTGAAAGTCCTGATTTGAGTCTGACAAAGTTGTGGCAGGACTTGAAAACTGCTGTCCCTTAACAATTTCAAACCAACTGGATGGACCCGGAGCAAGTGGGTGAATAAGAAAGGGTAAACTTTGTACCATCGTGGTTTGCAAACGTGGTAGAGACTGTAACTTCTGCCAAAAGGGCAATCATTGTTTTACCTGTAAAAGTATTCAGTTTATGCCTTAATAATTTTACATATTTGATTGTAAATATTCCCCTTTAAAAAGATGCATACAGTATGCATTAATTAGTAATTCAGCAAAATGGGACATTATGTGAAGGGTGTGTATAGATTTGCAAGGCATTGCATACATATTTAGGTGACATATTCTGCCCCTGTTTTGGACAGCTACAGTACATGAAAGCAAAGTAATTGATAACAGGATACTTTTAACACACTAAACTGGAACTGGAAATCGAATTGAATTGAACTTTTTAACCCCGCTCTAAGTTTTATAGAACTGAATTTCCAAATGTGGAGAATTTTTTTTTATTTTGCACAATCAGAATCCATTAAGTGCCTTGAGTTGGTCCTTGTCTCTCAAAAGTGTGTATAGTATATTACTGTATTTGCCTTGACCATATGTACTGTAAGAGGATATGGGCACCAGCTGAATCTATATAAGATCAAGGATGATACAGACTCATGCAATGAGTGCTCCTTTTAGGCACAGTAAATCTGGGATTTTCACACAGTAGAATCCTTCATTCATTCCAGCCAAAAGAAGAAACATGAGACTAGAGTTGATTTGTTTTTAAAGACCTATTGATTGTGGTTTCATGTGTTACCTCCAATCGTGTAATTGTTTTTGCTATTTTGTTTCCTTGTTGAAATATTTAAATGATAAGATTTCTTCTTATCATTTTCAATTTATGGTACCTGTTTTGCAAAAGTAAACATAGAAAATAAGGGATAACGCACATCAAAAGTTTACTGGCTGTGTAGTAACAAGTTTGGATTGATTGGATTCAGTTTTATATTCAATTTTGAATGTAATTTTTTGGTATATTCTCTTAATACTTGAGTAAGTGGATATAAGGTAATAATAACCTTAGACAAACATCTTTGTGACATACAATAAGAAACACCCCTTTAATAGAAGAGGTAAAACCGCCACTATCTAAGAAATAATGCAAAAAGTTAGTCATAGAAAATGTCGTTTTGAATGCACTCGAAAAAAATGAGGGGCATAATGTTTAAACTATCATGTGTATATTTACTACTGTTAAATTGCAAAGATTTTTTGGAATGGGAAAAGTAATGATTTGATTCAGATGTTTGAAGGTGACCAACACTTTTCTTAACCAGGCTCACTAAGGACACTGATGACTAGAGGGCACCCATGGATGTTCTATATACTGTACAATACTGTATGTACGGTATATGAAACAATAGAAGACAATTTCTCCTCACATGCCTATTATTCTCTGGAATAAACATCCATTACTCTATTACTCATCCATTACTTTTTCACTCAATGTTCTCCAAACTGTTTCCAGCATCTTTTAGTATTTTGCTATATGACTTGGATTTATTTTTCATTTCTGAATTGTTTTGTTATACCAAGTTATAACATTAATGCGATTATGCTTTAATCTCACTCCAGTTAAGCAGCTTAAAGCAAAATATGGTCCTGGAACTAATAAAAAAAAACATAGTTATTTTACCTCTGCTACATCTTTGCGTGCACCTGTGAGCTGCCTATATAAGTGTTGTGGATCATACTTTGTACATTCAGGGTTAGCTGACATGCATGAATCAAAGCTTGTTTGTGTTGGATTCCAGAGAGCACGTTGGTCCCCCAGGATATTTAACTTTCAGGATGCTTGCCAAGATAAAGTTGCCTAGTGCATGTAGACATCTTATCACGTGAATATTTTTTATATAGATTAAAGATTTGTAACACCTACTGTACTGCTGCTTATGACCTGAGTGCAGCTGTGAAACAGCTAAACATACCCCAAGGCTTGTTAATCAAACAAAGTTCAAGTTGTAGTTTATGGGGTGTGTGCAAGCATTATTCAGACAGTGCAGCATTCATTTTGTAAAGATGTAATGGATTTGACAGATTCTACATATAAGTAAGTGGTATATGTTGGGGGGGCATACATAAATACACTTAAAATACTTTCAGTTTTATTTCACTTAGTTT